AAAAAAAAAAAAAAAAGAATCTTCTGACAAGATGGAAATGATGGAAATACTCTGTTTCTGTGCTGACCCATATGGTGGCCATGGCCCCATGTGACTCCAGCATGCTTGGAATGTTGCCGGTGTGACGCAGAACTGAGTTTCTAATTGTGTTTAATTTAAATTGATTTAGCATGGAGGCCACATCTGGCTAGCAGTGAATATACTGGACAGTGTTGCTCTAAACACTGCACCCTTTCTTTTTATTCATTTTGTATTTGTATTTGTATTTGTAGTTATTTATTTCTTTATTTTAGTTTAGTTTAGTTTATTTTTGAGATGGAGTCTCGGTCTTTCACCCAGGCTGGAATGCAGTGGCGTGATCTCAGCTCACTGCAACCTCCACCTCCTAGGTTCAAGCAATTCTCCTGCCTCAGCCTCCCTAGTAGCTAGGATTACATGTGTGCACCACCAGGCCGGGCTAATTTTTCTATTTTTTAGTAGAGACAGGGTTTCACCATGTTGGCCAGGCTGGTCTTGAACTCTCCTGACCTCAAGAGATCCACCCACCTTCGCCTCCCGAAGTGCTGGGATTATAGGTGTGAGCCACTGCGCCTGGTCCACAGGAGGAAATTTAGGCTGAGAAGGTTCAGCCTAAATTCCCACTGGAATCTGGAAAATCCTACCAGAATCTTCCACGTAGGAAGTAGTTGGGGAGATTTCCATCCTGGATCATTCCACTGTAGCACGCTGCCTTTGCCATCGTCTCCCACACACCCCACTACCTCAGCTTCCTCACCTGTAAACCGGTGGTAACCAGATCCTCAGTAATAATTGGTAATTCTCAACTCTTTCGAATCCTGGCCCTCTTCACCCCTTGCTTGGTGACTTGAGAGAACTAACTGACTCTTTCTGAGTCTTAATTCCTTCAACAGTGTAAGTAAAATGTTGGGCTGGATGACATTCTACTTGAAAATTCTTCTCTTGTCCTGAATCTTACATCTTCCTGGTTCTGGGTTCCTACAGGTGAATCCTCTTCATTCCCTACATCCCATGTTCTCTGCTTCTTTCCTCTCTCCTCCCGGCAGAGGTGAATCTGGCAGCTGCGGTGATAGCAGTGCTGGGCCTGGTAGTCATGGCCTTGGGGTGCCTCTGTATCATCATGGTGCTCACTAAAGGTGCAGAGTTCCTGCTCCGAGTTGGAGCCGTCTGCTTTGGCCTCTCAGGTGAGGGTTCAGAGCCTGGAGGCTGAGGACATTGCATGCTGGGAGGATCTCCAGGCACTGTTGCATGCTGGGAGATGGGCTCTCTATGCACTGTTGCATGCTGGGAGATGGGATCTCTATGCACTATTGCATGCTGAGAGTAGGATCTCCACACACTGTTGCATGCTGGGAGGTGGGATCTCTAAGCCCTGTTGCACGCCTGGAGTTGAGGGGAAGCCCAAGGGCTATAGTAGGTTCAAAGATGGGAGAACCCCAACAGCCGGGCTAAGGATTGGAGGGTGTCCAAACATTGTTTTAGATTTGGACCTGGGATCTCCAAGAATTGTTGCATGCTGGGAGATGGGATTTCCAATCACTGTTGCATGCTAGGAGTTGGAGAAAGCTCAAGGACTATAGAAGTCTCAAAAATTGGAGAGTTCTAAGCCCTTTTGTTAGCTGGGAATTGGAAGCTATCCAAATACTTTTTAAGGTTTGGACATGGCGTCCCTAAACACTGTTTCATGCTGAGATGTTTTGAGCATTATAGCCTGTTGAGAGGTCAGGGAACCCCAGGGGCTGTAGTAGGCTCAAAGGTGGAAGAGTTCCAAGCCCTATTGTTGACTCAGAATTTGATGGTCTCTAAATGCTCTTTTAGATTTGAGATGTGAGGTCTGCAAGGACTGTTGCATTCTTGGAGCTGAAGGTCTAAATAAAATGCTGCATCTTATGAAGTGTAGCCCTCAGTAATGAACAACAATTCAGTTTATTGTACTTCCAGTTCAAATCCTTACAACAGCTCTATTAGGCAGGGCTTACTATCCCCCATTTTATTTATTTATCTATTTATTTTTGAGACAGAGTCTCCCTCTGTCGCCCAGGCTGGAGTGCAATGGCATGATCTGGGCTCACTGCAACCTCTGCCTGCTGGGTTCAAGTGATTCTTCTGCCTCAGTTTCCCAAGTAGCTGGGATTACAAGCAGGCACCACCACACCTGGCTAATTTTTGTATTTTTCAGTAGAGACGGGGTTTCGCCATGTGAGCCAGGCTGGTCTCGAACTCCTGACCTCAAGTGATCTGCCCGTCTTGGCCTCCCAAAGTGCTGGGATTATAGGCGTGAGCCACCACACCCAGCCTCCCCCATTTTATAGATGGGGAACTTGAGGCTCAGAGAAGTCGGATGAATTACTCGTGGCCACACCATCAATGATGGCATGATGGCAGAGGTGGGATTTTAAACTTGGTTTTCTTTCTTTCCTTTTTGAGATGGTCTCACTCTGTCACCCAGGCTGGAGTGCAGTGGCACGATTTCAGCTCACTGCAACCTCTGCCTCTAGGTTCCAGCCCAAGTTGTGCCCTGAATCACTGTGTGACCTTGGAAGGTTCATTTTATTTTCTGGGCCTTGGTTTTCTTGTTGGATCAAATGTTTTTTCTTTTCTTTTCTTTTCTTTTCTTT